TAGTCCAGGCTGGCCTCGAACTCACAGAGATCCGCCTGGCTCTGCCTCCCGAGTGCTGGGATTAAAGGCATGCGCCACCACCGCCCGGCCCCCTTCTCTATTTTAATAAAAAGAAAAAAGGAAAAAAGTTATAATATAAGAAAAACTATATACAAAAGTACAATAACTATATACCATATATAAAAGCAATGAATACCTAAACAATGTCTAGTTCATTTGTATTTGACAAATTCAGAGAAAATAATTCCATTATCTATCCTATTTTGGTAAGTCCAAAATGTACCTAATTCACTTTCTATTCTAACTAATCTTCAACTATAACTAACTAATCTTCAACTATAACTAACTAATCTTCAACTATAACTAACTAATCTTCAACTCCCTCAGAGACCCAAAAAGGAAATAATATTACCTAACAAAAATAAAAACAGGAGGTGCACGCAAGCAGCTTCAAAAAAAAAAAAAATGTGAGTTGACAGAAACAGCCAGCTGCCTGGACAGTCACCTGAGGTTTCTCCACAGTGTTGGGTATCATCTTCAGCGTATAGGCTTAGTGTATCTGACAAACTCATTTGTGAAGTAGGATGTACACAAGGTCAACAGTTTGACCTCACATTTGATGAGAGCAGTCCATGTACCAGAAACACCTGAATTCCACTAGTGTCATGTCATGATTCAGGATCTTAAATTCTGGAAATTGTTGATGTTTTTTTTTTAATTCAGCTCTCCATTCTTTTTGGCTGTGTATATATGGCTTCATCTCAGCATCCTGTTCTTCTCCATATCCTTCTACTAAATGCCAGTCTGCTATTGAGAGGTGTGAGCTTAGTTACTCTTCAAGAATAACTGTATCAGCTGCTGTTCCACTGCACATCAGAAGCCATTGGCCCACTGCCTGTTCAGCTGCCTTCGAAGAAAAGGGCACTGTACCTTTTCCAGATTGCAAAGGCCACTTCAGGGATGGTGCCATATTGTCCTGGCCTCAGAAGATGCCTTTTGATAAAGCCACAACCACACTTGTTTTGGCAAGAATCAGTAGTCCTTTGTTTCATGTCCTGTCAGTCCACAGTTCATTCGAGGATACTTTGTTGTCCAGTGGCTAATTTTTGCCACAATGAAAGTTAACTCCATATGCAGTTTCTTCAATGCCCATATTTTCTCTGAAGTAGATTGGTACTGCCAGGAGCTGACATGTCTCATAGTCATAACAAAACAGAAAAATTTTCTAAGTTATTAAAACAATTTAAATGTCATTTTCTGTAGATCTCTGAAGGGTTTGAAGATGACCTGTCTATCTAAAATATATCTGCTCAATCTTGAAAACATACCTAATATGACTACAAGTTCTATTGTAATGTCTAACTATTAACTTTCATTTCTTTATATCCTAATACTTGGTAATAATAACATTCAAGAATCATCAATAGCATTACATTGTTAAATGAATGCTAAAGTACAATTAGAAATATACATATAGTATTTTCTAACAATATCAATCTTAATATATATAATTTGTATACAATATAAAAAAATCCAATCCAATGTAAAGTATTTGAAACTAGTAATTGTCTTTTTCTTTTTTCTTTTTTTTAAACAAGAACCTTAAATCTAATCTCCTTTGCTTAGCCCTTTTCCTAACCCTTAACAACAACTTGGAATTAACCCGCCTAAGCAATGAAAATTATCCCAGACCCAAAATACATTAAAAGACCAAAAAACCACCTGCCCCACGCCACCTCTTTGTGAAATTGGGAGTGATATTCTTGAAATTGCTTCCTGCTGGGTATGGGTGAAGGTATCTTTATTCTGAAAAGAAAATTTTTGGGTTAATCGTCAAAGTCTAGAAAGGTAACTATATCCTTTGTTGTCCAGTTTGAGCATAATGCCAAAAGTTCAGAGTTTATCTCAAGTCCTTATTCAAGTAGTCTTTGAAACTGGATCATTACAGCTAACCCTCTCAAAATTGCTCTGAGCACTTTGTATCTAAAGCTGATCTGTAGATGATGTTTGTCAGCTTAGTGATATTATTGTCCACGTTGAATTGTTGTTGTTGTGGGGCCCCATCTTCTTCCTGGAGACTTCAGTTGATGTTAGGCGTGGCTGTGATTTCCTGCAGAAAGCTGATAAGGGACTCGAACACAAAGACATACATATACAGCTAATTGAAACTTTTTTTCTAGAATTAGTTAGTATTCTATAGGACCATTCATATCTTAACAAAGTTTAAAATGTACATATATATATATGTATGTATGTATATGTATATATTAATCTTGTAAATTTGATATAAAATTCATACTTTAAGAAAAGTTTAAAGAATCAGAATAGAATCAAAGAATTGAGATTAGTAGTAATAGAATAGTCCCTTAATTAATTTGTTTTTTCTCCTCTCCCATATCAGAAGTTGGATCTTTTCTTCTGGCATGATACAGGCAGTTTGCATTTTCTGAGTTGAGCCTGGGCTCTGGCTTCCATAAGCTCTGACCATGTGCATTGGCATTTCAGCCAAAAGCTGTGCGTAGCTCCTGCAATTAGCGGTAGCTCTGGCAGGGCAGGCCTGAGTTGTTTGTAGCACCGGCTTTAAGCAAGTAGCTCCAGCTGTGGGTAACCGCTTGTAGCTACAGTCCGTCGGGCCTGCAGCCTAGACAGAGCTAGGCCTGAGCTGGGGAGCCGGGGAGCTGGAGGGCCACCAAGCCACCACAACCGGCTTTGTGTAGCTCAGGTATGGCAGGGCCACAGGCAAGCAGCTGTGCGTACCATGAATGTTGGGTACCCGATGTAGATGTAAACCATCTTGTTAAATAAGAAACACAGAGCCAATGCAGAGATGAAAGTCCAAGAGGTCAGAGCAGTAGCTAAGAGCTAAAAACCTTACCCTTCACTTCCACTGCTGTCCTCCTCAGCAAGAGACCTATTTCCTGTGTGTTTGTCTTTTTATTGACTTTCTGTTCTGCCTTCTCATTGGTTGTAAACCCAACCATATGACCGCCTCGTCACTGCCTGTCTGTACAGACCTCCAGGTCTTCTCTGGTTGGTATTGAGATTAAAGGCACGTGTCTCCATGCTGGCTGTATCCTTGAACACACAGAGATCTGCCTAGCTCTGCTTCCCAAGTGCTGGGATTAAAGGCATGCACCACCACTGCCCAGCTTCTGCTATGGCTTGCTATTAGCTCTGACCCCCAGGCAACTTTATTTATTAACATACAAATAAAATCACTTTTCAGTACAAATAAAATATCACCATATAAGTATAAATATTTGAAGGCAGTTTACAATGACAATTCTTTAAATAACTGTAAAAAACTTTCTACCAAAGAACCTAAGACCCTGAATGTTGGTTTTTAGGCTGTATTTACAAAACAACAACAGCAAATTAAGTTTTGCTGCTGTAGAAAGCAGCCTTCAGCACCCCAGGAATTGAAGGGGAGCCACAGAGTCTGTGGACTGATCACTCCATTGACTTTTCTATCTGAGGGAGTAAAACTTATTTCTCTTGGGCCAAAAAAAAGGGGGGGAAACTAACATTAACACTAACACACACACACACACACACACCCCTCCAACATGTCAGGTTCTCACCTTGGGTGTTGATGGGTGGCAGCCTTCAGCAGGTCAGAGAAACTGAAGAGCAGATGCAGAGCAGGTGAGCTAACAGACAGACAAACAGACACACTAGGACTTTTCTGAGGGTCAAAGCTTAGATCTTCATTTAATTATTGTTTCCATTGCTTGTTCTACTCTATCGTTTTTCTGTCTGTTCTTCTACCCTGACATTTCCTTCTTTCTCTTTCCTAGTGACTTCCTTCTCACTACTTCCTGATGTCTTCCTTCTCACTACTTCCTGATGACTTCCTTCTCACTACTTCCTGATGACTTCCTTCTCACTACTTCCTGATGTCTTCCTTCTCACTACTTCCTGATGACTTCCTTCTCACTACTTCCTGATGACTTCCTTCTCTCTACTTCCTGATGACTTCCTTCTCACTACTTCCTGATGACTTCCTTCTCACTACTTCCTGATGTCTTCCTTCAGACTTGTTTATTTTTCCCTTACAGCTTATAAACCCCAGTAGAATCTTTCAAGCAATGTAAAAATTACAATGTCATTACATTCTATTTTTAAGTAAATGATTACAATGAATACCAGTAAAAAAAAAAAATGAGTAAACATTTTACATATTACAGGTGAAAAACAAATAGTTCCAAAGTACTCACACAGTTAACCATTTATCTTTTAGAATTCTCATAGATCAGGACCCTTTTAGCCATAACTGTTATAAAGGCAGTAGTTTTTATAATTGCCAGAAATATGGGTTTAAATTTTAAGAGTTCTTCCCAATTATCTTAACTAACTATCCAACTTTTTTTTCTAGTTACATGAAGTATTATTTAAAGCTTTGTTTTAGCTATGATGCACTCCAAACTCCATGAACACATTTTCCAATATCAGAAAGAACTTAAGCTAATTCCTGCGTCTTGGTTGTTTTCCTTAATCATTCACCTAAACCATAGTCTATAGGACTCCTCAAGAGAAACTCATAAATCTTAGCTGCATGACACTTCCTTGGTCCAAATTTCTATCAATGCAGTCCCTGCTTCATTGGGGGGGAAAAGGGGACAACACTATATCTTATATTTACCTATAATAAATTTCCCACTAAACTCACCTCTATCATGATCCCTTACTACATGTGTTAAAAACCCTTATTCATCAAAATTCTATTTAAACTACCACTATTATTGTATAAAACCATTACTTCAGTTAAACAGTACAGGTCGGGAGGAAATCATCTTCATAATAATCCACAGGAAAAGTGCCCAGTAGAATGGGATATTTCCACAAGATAAGCATACAACATTAAAGGCAGTGAGTATTCTCCCAACCCCCATTCACACAATTCATTCCAGAAAAAAAAATGGCAGCAGCAAACATGTGAAGGCACAGCACTAGCAAGAGACATTCAGAAGCTGAAGCCCCCTTGGCCTTACCTATCAGAGATTCACCATCAGTGCCTTGCACTCTGGTGACTTTCCTGAAGCGTCAGTGCCACCTGCTGCTCCTCTGACACAGCCACTCACAGGGAAAGTTTTAATTTATTTCCAATGTCAGATGAATTCAAAGAAAGTGGAGGAGTGATTTTAAAAATGTCTCTTTTTCTTAAGAACTAATAATTGCACATAGGTAATTGGTAAGAAGATAATCATTATACAAGCTAAGGCCACATGATTCTTCCAGAAGCCCCATGATGAGAGATCGATGCCCTGGATCGTCAAGAATTCTTCACCAGTACATCTGTAATTCAATACACACAAAAATAGTGTCAAAGTTTATTCAGTACATTCACTGTTGCTTCCTTTTAAAAACTCAGTTTCTATACATCATTAAAATTTTCTTCTTTATATTTAATTGATATTATTAATGATGTATTTACTATTTTGTGATATATTATGTCAATCTAAACTACCTGAATCAGGTTCCTTTGTTAATTTCAAAAACCATCCAAAGAGGCAGAGCTATCACATCTATTTAAAACCATAGAGGAAGTCGGCTCAGTAATCTAGGCCGAGTTTAGAGAGTCATACACTGAGATCGAACTTTGTAGTCTTCACTGTGTCATTCATTTCTAAATCTACAATGCTGCCCTCTCCTCAAAGGGCAAAGGCATGGATGAAGTACTTGTTTCTCCTGAAGTGGAAAACCTCAGCTTCCTAATGACACACAGACTCTCTAAGAGATCAATCTTTGTGCAGTTCTGCTGACTAAGTACACAGTTGTGTAAAAGAACACAGCATCAAATTCTAGAACCAGGATCAGAGGAGACCAGGGATTTCGGGCAGGAGTCAGTCAATTCCTGTCAGATCCTTTACTAAAAGAGCAGTGACAACCAGGGATGCTCAGCTATGGAACATCCCCAGCAGCCCAAGGCTACAGACAGCCTGGGTAGCAGTTGGAGCACAGCAGGATTCAGGGGTCCAGACACAGGTTAGAAAAGCAGCTGCTGCTAAAAGTTCTGGATACACTACAATCACCACCTGTGTGCCTCCATCCCTGTGTGTCTCCATCCCCTGTATCTCTTAGGATTTAATAGTTTTTAAATCTACTGAAATTTCTTCCTCTTGTGAGGTCTGTGGATGACCCACCTCTGGATGACCCACCTCTGGTTTCACTTTACCCATCTGTTTGTGGAATATTATTTTAACATGTGTTACCTATGTTTGTGGAACATCTGTTTAATGATGCAAAGATGCAATGCATTCTTTTATGCTGCATTTGTTTAACTTTGTGAAACTGTTATTTGCCTGTCTAAAACACCTGATGGTCTAATAAAGAGCTGCCATACCAATAGTGAGGCAGGAGAAAGGATAGGTAGGCCTGGCATACAGAGAGAATAAATAGGAGAAATATGGGGGGAAAAGGAAAAAGCACAAGAGAACAAGGAGAGGAGGACGTTAGGGGCCAGCCACACAACCACACAGCTAGCCACAGAGTAAGATTGAAAGTAAGATATACAAAATAAGAAAAGGAAAAAGCCCAGAGGCAAAAGATAGATGGGATAATTTAAAGTTAAGAAAAGCTGGCAAGAAAGAAGCCAAGCTAATGATGGGCTTTAATTATTAAGTATATGCCTCTGTGTGTGATTTATTTGGGAGCTGGGTGGGGGCCCCCTAAAAGAGTAAAACAACCAACAACACTTTCCACATTCTTCTGACAAAAGCTAGTAAGTAACTTCTATTAGGATACAGACCACACCAGGAGAAACGAGATATGGGAAATAAGATACTCCCTCATACTTGTTTTCTTATCAGTAGTTCAAACATAATTGGGTTACTATTATTCAGTATTATTTTGAATATAAGGAGAGATTGAGCATATCAGCATGTTCCTCTCTCATTTATAGATCAAAATCAAATCAATGAGAGCAATTGTAGAAAGGGAAGATATTGAAACTTTAAAACAATACACTTTAATTTTATTTTAAAAATTGTTTCTATTTTCATGGTATTAGACAAAAATAATATCTCCTTCTCAATACATTGAAATACGTGTTTCTTTCATTGCAGGTCATATCCTCTGGTAAGATATTTTACACACACACACACACACACACACACACACACACACACACCAGTCTTTGATTTCGTGAAGTCCTCTAGAATGCAAGGCAAAGGGAAGGCCCTGAAATCTGACAGGTAAAACTCACTCACTTTAGTCCTTGCTACCCTGATGTTCTTGGGCTCTGCTCACAGGTACCATAGTCTATACATGTAGAAACTGTACACCCTTGTTAACTATCTGAGTAGCCTAGGTGAAACTCAAGTGTTCTGAATCAAGGAACTCAAATCCACAATCAAGACACCAAAATCATTTTTAAATGCCCCCAAAGAACCCTTTCTGTACATTCTACACCATAGAACAGTAGGATCAAAACACATCCATGTGTGCATTGGTTACTGTGATTCTCTCTGGGGAACCAGGAGAGGACAGTGTTAATCCTGAAAGGATGGGTTTCCCCTCCAAGTCTAGGAGCATTCTCTGTCCCCATTATGACACTGAACTCAGGCTTACATTACATAGTTCTGACATCTACTGACTTCTGCTGTGTTATGTTCTGGACAGAAGTTTTGTTCCAGGAATTCACTGTGCTGCAAAGCCTGTAACACAAACAAAATCAGAGAAAGGCAAAGAGTTCAATATTTCCATAAGTTTCTAAAGAATAATTACAGCTATAAATTCAAGATCAGTCTGGACTGTAATTTCCAAAAATATTTTTAAATGAACAACCTCCACCAAGTTCAGTCTGCCCAGCAAAGCAGTGCTTTGGATTGAAATGATGGTGCTTCCCAACTACTAAGAGGTGGACTCTCCAACTAGATTACCTCAGGCACCTCTTTCTCTGCCCAGTCCATAACCATGTAAACACTGATATTAAAACAATACTATTGATTCATAGTAACAATATTTCTTGTTTCTTTTCATCAAAACCAGTTGAGATTATGGGAGTAAGAAAGTCTGTTAAGACACACTTTACTGCAGAGAAAGCTTGGCATAGCCAATATGGCTATGGCTATCACATGATTTTTATTCTTTTAATTTCCTGATATAAACTATATATCTTAGTCCCTGATCCTTTCATTATTTCCTTATTGGTAGAATCACAACTGTATGCTTTTCATTATATCAACTATCTTCTCTCTTTACCCTGAGATTTTTCTCACCCTTCATGTCTCTCAAATAACATATGACTGTGGAAAACCCCAGATGACTCACTAACCTTTGGCTAGAATTTACATGAAAGTTCTCATCTTTTGCTCCTGGAAGGAAAATCCCGGGCAGCTGCTGGTTAGAGATTACATCTGGGGAAAGGACTGGGTTGGGATTCATTTCAGTTGCTACAGTTGGAGACCCCAAGTACAGTGACAGACAGGACAACTTACTGTAAATCCATAATGAGGAATGCTGAAGTACTGAATCCATGAGAGGTCTTGCAAGAAGTTCGTGTAAAATAGTGATAGACCTGAGATAAACTACAAAGAACAGAAACAACAATTAGAACCAGTCCAGTGACTAAGAATTCTAGACAAGATCCTCATGCTTCAAGAGTTTTTTCTTCTCAGACCAGCTCTTTAAAACATTCTTTCAATAAACTCCAAACAGAATTCTTCACTCTTTGCAAAGGCAAGGGTCTCCATGGTTTTTTAAAATAAAGACCTGCCACCCCACTCTGCAGGAGCCAGACCCTCAGATGCTTGTGTTGTTTGTCTTTAAAAGGGGCATGTAATCTATGCGTACCCTTTAAACTTCAAATATATCCATCCTTCATATTTAAAAGATTAATAAGTTCATTATAATATCTAGCTTATGTAGATATTATAAATGATGAACAAGGGTGAGCCAGGGACAGCTCTGAAGTTCACATAAACCTTGTCCTATCCACTCTCAAGTACAGTAGAATATGCAAAACAATGACTGTGTGCATGCAGACTGCACCTGACCAAATGCTTCTACAGAAAATACAACAATTGGCATCAAAACTAGTTTTCAAACTTTATACAATAACCAGTTGTCTTAGTTCCTTTCCTGTGGCTGTGATAAAACACCATGACAAACAGACAAGTCGGGAGCTTTTCTAAGTACAAATTACAAAAATAGTGGGAAAGAAAAGAGGGAAATAGTCTCATTCACAAAAACCTCAAAGAAGGGGGTGAGTGGATGGGAGAGGAATCTTGGAATAAATCTAACCAAATGAAATATTTGTACAATAAAAAGTTTAACACATTGAAAGGATAACTGAAGTTACTAGACAACAGACCTCCCATGCTTAAAGATCGGTACAATAAATAATTTGAAAATATCAATCTTACCAAAAGCAATCAACAGATTCAAAGCAATCCTCATCAAAATTATAATACAGTTCATATAAATTGAAAAAAAAATACTAAATTTCACATGGAAATACAAAAGTCCCACATTAGCAAAACAAGCCTGAACAACAAAACTGTCAGAGGTATCATCACCCATTGGTGAAAGAATCCATCCCCCTTTTGTGTGAGGAATAATTCATCTTATCTATGGATAAGAGGATTCCAGTGGACCTGTCTGCACATCTGGGAATGAGAGCAACAGACTCTGGCAACCTTCAGCACCCCATGTGTCCTTCTCTCATAAAGAGGACAATATGCCATTTGCTCTGGTAGGGCCAGGGTCCCATTCAAAGGAAAAGGACACTTGAGCCGAGGGATGTCCTGCCACACAATTGTAGCAATCCCTCCTTGGGCACATGTGCTGTGCAGTGAACACAGTTTACCTAAGTATTCAATTCTCTACATCAGTTTTATAAGTACATTTATAAAAAGTATAAACAAAGTGAACTGTGGTGGTAATCTAATTGTACTGAAATGTGATTTTGATTGTATGTTAATAAATAAAGTTGTCCGGGGGTCAGAGCTATTAGAGCCATAGCAAGAGTGTGGCGGTGGTGGCACACGCCTTTAATCCCATAGATCTCTGTGTGTTCAGGGATATAGCCA